TGTTGAAAGCCAAATGTCAGTCCATCAGCCAAGTTCGTACAAAGCACATAATTGTCACGATTAAACAAATTGATGCTCAGAGACTACGCAAAATCTGGTATCCTATTTTTACCGTTACAAGGCAGGATTGCCAGATCTGGAGGTTTAGTGAAGCTGATTTCTCAAACTTATACTTGGACGATCTCGAGTATATGTACTTTGAACTCAAGAACATGCAAATTAGAAAGGAAGGAGAACTGATAGCTCTGGAGGCGATTAAAAGATTAGTTTGAAATCATGTCAAGCTGTCAATGATCATCGATGTTCAAATGGGTCTTGAAGACAGTCAGAAGATTATTAACCTCAAAACACCAAATCAGGAGCTTGAAGACATTGATGGATATCCAGTCTATATGGTTCTTGAAAGCCCAGAGTTCGGAGTCATTTACTTTGCTCAACTTCAGGTTAAAAAGTTCATGAGATTCAGCGAGCTAAACAAGTACTCTGATGGTACGATCAAGCTGGTAAAGAGGGCGTTGGAATCAAAGAGAGTCAGTGATGATAAAGCTATGGAATCAGAACGTATGAATCCTAAAGAAAGATACTTGCTCGTTAATGCTATTAATTTGCTCGAGGAGAAGTTACAATATAGAAATGCTCTGAGACGGTTGGAGAAGATACTTGGACTGCGMAAAACGAAATTCACAAGAGTCCAAACTTGAATCCAAAGGGGGAGAATATTGGGTTCAAGATTAGAGCTTAAAAGTTGTATTCAAGTTTCTCCTTAGAATAGTTTTATTTGTAATATTTTAGTCTTTACTTTCCTAGTATAAATAGGAATTTCCTTGTAATTGTAATTAGAGCTTTTGTCATTAACACAGAAATAAAGATTTGGCTGATGTAATTTTCTCTCTCTCCTAATCATTACTTACATCATTCATTCTTAGTGTTCATCATTGTTCATGAAGATCATATCAAGATTTGTATGAAATCTGGACTCCACACCTCTCTTATATAACTTTTCCTCTTTAGCTTTCAGTTTTTCATTTAAATCTTTAATTTGCAACTCAAGGTTACTAATTTTAACAATTAATTCTTCATTCACTAATTCTAACGATTTATTTATGTTCTTTGAATCAGATAATTTAGATTTTAAAATGTTAGATTTTTCATGAAATGTTTTTGATTCAGATAATAAAGATTGTGCCCAATCAAAGTTTCCAGCATTTTCATCAAAAAGCTTGATGTATTTTTGTTTTTGCATTTGTAAATCTTTTTCCAAATTATTTGTATGTTGTTTTTCATATTTTAATTGTGCTGAAAACTTTGAAGTTTGGACATCATTTTTTGCATCTGATATATGCATGAATTTTTCAATACCTCTTCATTCAGCTCAGCATTCTCATCACACTCATCAGAAGAATCTATTTCAGTCTTTGCCACCAGATAGATATGAGCCACAGCTTCTGACTCTTCCTCCTCATCAGTTAAATTCAGCCAATGGTCATCCACAGCCATCAATGCCTTTCCCGCATCTCTTTGTTTAGACAGAAGAAACTTATTGTTATAGTAGTCAGTATTTCTTGTAACCTGCTTTCTACAGTTCACCGCAAAAATGTCCCAACTTGCCACAGTTGTAGCATTTGGTATTTTCATCCGCCACTCCTTTAATAAACTTCTTCTTCTCTTCAGGTTTTTTTTCATACTTCTTTTCGTATATTTTCTCATCATACTTCTTCTTTTCTCCAAATTTATCTTTAAATTCATAATTTGAACCCGAAGAGAATCTTTGATTATTTGAGTGCGGTTTCTTCTGAAACTTCTTTTGAAAGGCTTTGGTCAGCATTGCCATGGCCTGTTTAAATTCATTCATCTCTGAGTCCGAGTTAGAGCTGTCATTACTTTCACTTGACGACTCACTTGTTTGACTGAGCTCTTTTACTTGTTTCCCAGATCTGACTTTATTCTTCTTTTCAGACACAAAGGCCAAAGGATCAGTGACTTCCTTTTCCTTTTTCTTCTTTGAATCTCTGGCTTCTAAAACATCTTCCTCATTCTGTTTCAGAGTTTCATAAACCTCGTGAATATCGATATCAGATAAGGATTTATTAAATATGATATGATTGGCATAAGGATTCCACTCCGGTTGTAAATTGCTGAGGAATTTAACATTTATATCAATGACAGTTTAGAAATGCCATTCTTTGTAAGTTCATTTAGCAGTCTGGTTAGCCTGTCATACACATCATCAAGGCTCTCTCCTTCTTTAGCCTTGAATTCCTCATACGCAGAAATGCAGTTTCTGATTTTCAACTGAGTTCTCACCTTAGAACCCATCATCATCTTTTCTATCTGCATCCACATGATGTGTCTAGAAGCTTTATGACTATCGATGCTTGTATAGATATCATTGGTCAGCATTTGCATCATATAGGATTTGCACAACACGTTAGCATGTGCTCTTTCTTTCTCTTCAGGTGTATATCTGGATTTTTCTTTTATCACTCTCTGAGCAGGTCTGCCTTCAGTAGGAATAACAGGTGTTTCTCTCCAGAATACGGCTGGTCCTTCCATTATCAGCTCTCCTTCTTTCATGCGTTCAATAAAATTGAGAAATCTGTCTCTCCATTGGTTATAATCTCTTCTGAACAGAACTGATGGCTTGGTATCAATACCAATAGCCATAGCTTCTCTCGAACTCATTTTATTTGATTAAGATAATATCGGATCTTCTGCAGTTCAAAATTTTATCCGAAGGATTAAGATTAAAAATTAACTCCAAAAATAGCACACAGGAATTTTATACACATTCAATCACTTAGAAGAAAATGAACACTTAGACTTATCCGGATTAGAAGTCCGGACAACTAAGTCTGTCAATATCTAAGAAAATCACACAGTTTATCCGGATTAGATATCCAGACAAAACACTTAGTAAAAAAATGCACAATTATTAAAACTCAATACGAACACATAAAGTCAACAATTCAAACAAGTCAACAAGTCAAACAAATGTAATCCGCACAATGCAATATACGGTCAAACAATTAATCCGCTCAAGTAACAAAGTCATACTATTCAAATAGCTTGACGGTCAAAGTCAAAATCCGATCACGATTTAAATCGCACACACCACAATATGATCAAGATTAAATGGCGCAAAGTATCAAGCGAATAGACTAAATCACACATTAAATCGCACAGGGTTACAATCGGATTAACACTAAATCGGACACAACTACAATCAATTTACCACTAAATCGCATACAATATTATCTGGATTATCTTTAAATCGCACACCTAAAATCCACACAAATTCACCAAGTCTTAAATCGCACAAAGCATTAAGCAGTTTATCCTAAATTGATCAAGAGTTATACGATTAATCTTCAAACACAAACACAATTTTATCAACTTTTCACCAAAATTTTGGATCAAAACTTGAAAAATTATGAACTTTTTGAAGAATAGAAAGTTTTCGTAAACTCAAAAAATCTGCCAAAAATGGTTCAAAACTTGATTAAAATTCAAAACCGTGTGAATCAAAGATGTTCAGTATGTAATCGCGAATCTAGCAGTGCAAATTTTAACAATTAACAATAAAAAGTGATGAGATTAGAGTAAAAATTGTGAAATCCGATCAAGAATAACAAAAACCCAGCGATGAACAGTCATTAAAAAATAAAAAAATCCGTGCAAAAATTCCTCGAATTATGTGTAATCCTTCTATCAAATTGCTTCTTCTGTGCTCTGATACCAATTGTGAATCCCAATTATCATGCATATCAGACAAATTTTCAAGAACACAATTGAGAGTAGAGAGATTTTCACCGAGCTTAGAAATGATATTTCTTGAGAGTATATTACAAAGTGATTAGCATGAACTAATTACAATTAACCTAATAAAATCTATTTATACTAGGAAAGTAGAAAAGCTAACTATTACAAAACTACTAAAAAATGAGAGAAATTGAATACCACATTTTAAGTACAATCTTGAACCCAATAGTAGGTACAACAACAAATTTGGACATCTTTTTGATCAGCTCGCTGAGGATGTCTTCAATTATTGGCTTATGCCTTGACTTTGAGCGCTAAATGGCCTGGCGGATTTCCAGCCATTCGTTGTAACCATATTGTCCAAGGTAAGAAGGATACTCGACGACAACGTCAAGGATGTCTATGATGATGAGCATGGAGATAATCATTCCACCATATTTCTTACGACCACTGATTATGACGGTAGAAATACGACGGGGACTAATTCTTTTATTTAGGCGATCTTCACTCCATCTCTTGTCTCGATCATTCAGATTCATTGCTTATTTTTATTAACCTAGATATCCAACCCGCTATGCGAGCCGACTAATCCCATGGCGACCACTTGCTTTGCAGATAGCCCAGAGTCACCGCACTTGAACCTCCGTGGCCACAAGGGATTTTTATTACTCCTTGGATTTGAACTTGGGACCTCCAGGTACTTTTGACCTTTGGAGCCAAGCTCAAACCAATTACGCACTTCGATGTTCAGATTCTGTAATTGAGAGCAATTTAACTTGGGCCTTGACAGCATTCACCATCTTTTTAGACCTTTTCTTCAGAAGAACTTGAGAGGTAAGAGACTTGGCCAGCTGGAGGTTGTCCTCAATCTGTTGTCGTTGTATGTGGAGTTCTTCCTCAACCTTGAGTGCTTCGAGTCTTTCGACTTCATTAAGGAAGTCGAACTCACCACAACAAGAGGTACAAAGAGGAATTTTAACTCTAGTTTGGTCAAGTGACTCCTTAAGCTGAGTCATTTGTATGTCGCTAAGAACACTAAAAGTTGGGTTTACAGGTACCCACTCCACTAGACTACCACAAGTGGTAGAAGGAATAATAGGTGAGAGCTGACAGAGAGAGAAATGATGACAACAAACCTAGAGGGTTCAACATATCCTTGAAGATTGATAGGCTTCAAAAGAACAGTCACATTTCCTTCTTCAGCAACACCTTTGTCTTTAGAGGAGGTGTTCTGGTTCTTTTCAAACGTTGCTTTCTTTCTCCTTCTCCCCCTGGGATGAAGATTCCATGAGAGAGACTCCTTTCTGAGCGGTTGCTGGTTTGGTGTGGTATTGAATGGTGAAGTTGTCGTCATCATCGTTTTCATCATCAGCACCAAGATCTTTTCCAGCATCAGGAAAGGAAAAAGGATCATCAGCTTCATCGTCATCATCATCTTCCTTATCACCAACATTAGCTGCAGAGGTGATAGAAAGGTCTTCGTCTTGAGCATCAGCTCTAACAGACTCAGCTTCAGCTTCACGAAAGTGATGGCATCTACAACTTCTTAAGCAACTTGAGGTAAATCATCTAGAGCATCAGCATCAGCTGGTGTTGTACGGATAACAGCAGCTTGAGGTAAGTCTTTCTACCCTCTTTGTCATCAGTATAATGAGAGGTGAGATCATCAATACTTTCAGTAATAATATCCAATTGTTGTTCAAGCTTGGCCAAAGATTGAGTTTGAAGAAGTTCAAGTTCGAGCACTTGATCCAACGATAAGCGATCAGCGGATGTGAAAGAGGGTGCAGGTTCTGGCACTGGACGTTGAAGAAGATCATGTATCTACTGCATCAGCTTTGCTGTTGAGAGCAGAGATGGCCTCAACGTTGGTGCGGACATCGACTTGCACCGCAGTTAGCAATTCCTTCACATCATTGACTTCAACTTTGACAACTGAGAGGTTAGAAGAAAGGTCATCCCGGAGAGGCATGTCTTTATGGACTTGGTCCATTAGATCAAGACAGTCCTTACAGCTAGGAGAATCATTTTGACGTAGTCAGCCATATTATATTATTGTTCCATGGCTGTCGGTTCTTCATCGAAAGGACCTGAAAAAGAAGAAGTTTGAGCAAAAGATAGCTTGGGATTAGAATAAATGAAGGGGTAGGTTGGTAGAGTACATGAGGGGTCATTAACACCATCTGAAGGATTGATGCTAGTTCTCTCGTGGTTGCCTTTGAGAGGATAGGCTTCCGTTGACTGAGGTATCTCGAGAGGAGCAACCTCAGGTCCTGTGGTGATTGCTTCATCATCAGCAAGGACAATCACTGATGAATCACTAGCATGTGTCGAGACTAAAGAAGGAGGATAAGAGAATATGACTGAGAATGGTGGAAGTGGGTGTTAAGCAGTAGCTACGCTGATATTCACTGTTTAGACCCCATAAGTCTTGTGCATGGAAGTAATGAAGACAAACAAGTGATGAAGAACCAGAAGGCCGATGGAAGACTTCAAGGCAAAATGACTAAGTCTGAAGAACAACCAGAGATACGATGGAAAGTGCATCTTCATAACCCCTCTGGGTATTAACACTTGGAGTTTCCCTCACTGGTTCAACCAGAGACAAGTAATGAAGATATGAAGATAAAGTTGAACTCATGCCCTATGGAAGACAGCTGGAGATGACTAATCAACAGCTATATTCTACAAAGTTTATCTTGTTTTGATGTTTATCCATGTTTAGATAAGCTTTATCTGTTCTTAGAAGATTAGCTAAAAAGTCTCATAAGATAGTTATCTTCTTAGCTAGATTACTAGTATAAATAGGTGGTTAGGCCTATTGTAATCTAAGACTCTTTACGTTTTTCATATCATTGAAATAAAGTGAAATCTTTGACACTCAAGTATATTCTTAGAACGTTTATTAATTGTTCTTGAGTGTTCATCATTTTATTCATCCAAACACTATAATTTGGTTATTCTTAACTTAATTATTAGTGTTATTGAGAGATCTGGGATCAACAATTGGTATCAGAGCCAATTGATTGTTTTTCTAATCAAACGATCATTAAAAAATCTCTCAATCCGCATTTTTCATAAAATATCTTCTGTAAAATATAAAGTTTTATCTTCCAAATATTAAATGGCCAACTGAAATTCCGCTTACAGTGTTGGTTCCCTCACCAAACCTCCAACTCTTCAAAGAGAAGAGTATCCACAATGGAGGATACAGATGGTAAACTTTTTGGAAGGGATTGACAGAAATCTTATGCGATCTGTCATGGAGGGTCCCTACGTTCCACAAACTCTTGCTCCAAGAGTCCCAGGAATAAATACCGCAGTAGAAATTCCCGCCTATTACATGCCCAAGGATGTGAAGAATTGGGATGAAGATGACATAGAGCGCGTGGAAACTTACAAGAAGGCCGAAAGACTAATAATCATGGCCATTCCCAATGAAATCTTCCAATCCCTTGGTGCATGTTCTACAGCAAAGGAACTATGGGATGAGGTGGCAAGCCAATTGGAAGGAGGAGCAAAAACAAAGAAGAATCATAGAGCCCAATGTCTCAACGAATACACCAACTTCAAAGCTCTTCCTGATGAACCGATTCAGAAGACATACGATCGTTTCAAAACATTGATCAATCAATGTCGTCGAAACGATATCTCCAGGACGAAGGAAGAAAATAATGTTTTGTTCCTTAAAAGTCTCGGCGATGAATGGACCCAGCTGTCGATGTCCCTTCAAGCAAATCAGGACTTAGACAGCTGGTCACTTCATAACGTATACGGAACGCTTGCTGCACAAGAGAACGAAATCATGAAGAAGAAAGTGTCCATCGGTGGACCCCTGTCTCTTGCTGCTGAAGAAAAGGATGTTTCAAGGACCTCCAACAGAGACCACAAGAAGAAAGGAAAGAAAGCACTGGTGGTAGAATCATAATCTGAGGATGAAACATCTGAATCAGATGATGATATCAAAGCCTTTGCCAAATCTCTGGCCTTGGTAACAAAACATTTGCAGAAAAAGTTCATCAAGAGACCCTATGAACGAAGAGACTTTAAAAGGGAGAAGTACCAGCCATCCTATGAAAGGAAGCCATCGAAATTCTATCAGAGGGAAGACAGAAGATATGGAAGAGAAGAGAGAGAAGACATAAGAGAAGATAGAAGAGAGGAGAAGAAAGAAGACAGAGACGGGATGAAAAATGACCTCCGCTGCTTTAGGTGCAGAAAAATCGGTCATTTGTCCAAAGAATACAGAGGACGACTAGTAAAGGATGCTGATTACTACAAGAATAAATATAAGTAAAATCCTAGAGAGCGAAGCCTGATGGCTGAGAAAGAAAATTGGGTGTCTGATTCTTCATCCGATGAAGAAGACAAAGCACTCATCTGTCTGATGGCCACGTCCAATGCAGAATCCGCCTCTGACATTGATGATCAGGTATGTGAGTCTACTATCGATGAAACCAACTCTGCTCCATCTGAGCCAGAGTTAAGAGTAATAAAACTTTTAGAGGACTTCTTGAAATTAAAAGAAAAATTAAATTTTGAAAAATCTGAAAGACTTAAAGAGGAAAAAGAAGTTAGTTTCTACAAAAGAGAGACTGATCTTCTAACTGAAGGAAAAGCCGATCTCATGAAAGAAAAGACTCGCATCGCCACTCTTAATAAAACAGAGGAAGAAAAACTTTTGGAAATAAACAAGCGAGTAACCAAAGACTTAGAAAAGAAAACTAAGGCCTTAAAAGAATCTGAGGCAGAGAGACTTAACTCAGTAGTTCTCAAAGATTTCTTTCAAAAAGAAAGGGAGGTTCTTCACCAGATGCTTCAAACCAATGAACTTCTGATGAAGAAATATAGGGATGCCCAAAATGTATATGAAAAATTAAACGGTCAAACGGACACTCAAGGGATTGGATTCAATGAATTGGACTCCTTCATCGAATCAAAGAATTCCACCCTTGAATCTACTTTCAAACTTGGATGCATTCAAAAACCCGACTTTTTCCCGAAACCAAAAGCAAATTTTAAAAGAGTTAAAGTCGATGGAAAAATTGTTGTTTTAAGACAGGATTTTGAAAACGTGGTGTACGAGAGCAGTACATGTAAGAATTCTGATGAAATGAATGACCCCTCCAAATCAGAGACCAATGGAAACCCTATGATTAAGTCAGAGTCTCTGGTTGTCAATCCCACTTCATCAGCAAGTATTGTTGATGAAAAAGAGAATCCTAGTAAGGAACCATCAGCTGATGAATCGATGAGCCTTCCAAGTAACATTGGAAGTTCGTCTAAGTCAGAAACGATGGAACCCTCAACATATCACTCTGAAGCATCAACCTCTGAACCCACACCTCCCACAAACATCCATGAAAATTTTGATATCGAGAAATTAGCGAGGGACTTTCTTGATTCTGAATCTGAAGAATAGATAGTCTGTGAATCACCAAAGATCATTGAGAATAAGAAGCCTCAAAACTTCAAACCCTCAATAAAAAACTGGTATTCCACCATCAATGAAATCTTTAGATAAAGGAAAGGGAAAACTGAGAAATATCAAATCTGCCAACGATAACTCACAAGGCCCTAGTATATCTTCTAAGTTCATTAAGTTTACTCATGAGCAAAAATAGAAGTGGCCTGCCTCTGAGAAAACTAATCACCATTTTTCCTCTCATTCAGCTGAAGAAAAGCAGTTATTCCTCACGAGTAAAAAAGTAAAGACCAAGACCTTCTCAAATAAAAAATCTGAACTAGATAGGAAGTTTATAAAAACAACCGATGCTAGGACAGGATTTACATCCCCTGCATTTACTTCTTCATTTTTACCGATGCTAGGACATGATTTACATCCCCTACATTTACTTCTTCATGTCCAAAGAATAATAATTGTCAATGTTTAGCTCTTTTACAAAACCTGAGGAATCACATGTTGACACATCGCTGCATATTCTCCAAACACGTTTATCGCTATAAACTTAAATCCAATGAAAACCTAAAAAAGCCCAAGTTTAACGGCAAGGGAAATACTAACAAACTCAAACTTGCAAAGGCCAAGGGTGATGAAAAAAGAGAGGTATCTCCCATTAACAAACGTGGACCCATTAAGAAATGGGTACCTAAAACCCCTTAATTTGTCTTGCAGGACCAGTATGTGCAACCATGGTACATGGATTCAGGTTGCTCCAAGCACATGACTGGTGACAAAAGTCAGCTGTCCTCCTTCATTGAGAAATCTGGAGGCTCTGTCACTTTTGGAGACAACAGCAAGGGTACCATCAAGGGATACGGAACTCTCATCAAAGGCAACATCTCCATCATCAAAGTGGCTTATGTTGAAGGTTTGAAGCACAACTTACAAAGCATAAGCCAGTTCTGCGACAAGGGTCTTGAAGTCAAAATCCGCAAGGGTTTCTATATCATAGAAACAAAGCCCGGTCAAACCATTATCAAGGCTAAGAGAGAAGGAAATCTCTATTTTCTGGATTTTCAATCCTCTAAGGGACAAGACACCCTTTGCCTTGTATCCCATAAGAGTGATGAAAATTGGCTATGGCACTAGAAGTTCTCACATCTGAATTTTGATGTCCTAAGAAAGCCAGCCAAATAGAAGCTGGTCAAGGGGATTCCTGACCTGAACTTTGAAAAAGATCATCTATGCTCAGCCTGCGAGATGGGAAAGCTAAAACGATCTCACAAGACAAAGTCAGAAAGCTCCTGCACCAAGCTCTTGGACATGATCCACATTGATCTCTGTGGGCCCATAACTACACAAAGCCTCTCAGGAAAGAAGTACATATTGGTACTAGTTAATGAATACTCCATATACACCTAGGTTGAGTTTGTGAAGAAGAAATCAGATATTCCTGACCTATTCATTGGGGAGATGAAAAGACTCCAAGTCCTTCTACAACGAAAACTCATTAAAGTTAGAAGCAACAATGGAACTAAATTCAAAAATGCCAGAATCGATGAATACCT